ACAGCTGTACAATACTGCTAAGGGTCAATTGGAATCTTCACCTCTACCTGATTCACATCCTGCTCTTTTGCTATTTGTATATGTATATGCTAGATCAACCCATCTGAAAACAAGTCCAGGGAGTAGGAGCCCGTGGCGTTAGGTGCGAGTAAGCAGCCACCTGACCGTGTAGGACAGCCTTGGAGACAGGACGTGTGGGGACCCGTTCTTAATCGCCACTTGTCGCGCAGGAGTAACATCTACCGCTCCAAAATAGCCTGTGTTTTCTTCGAGGGCCGCTGCAAGTTTATCGCCATGCTGTAGATTAGCCTCGAGTTTCACGGTCGGTGCTAGCTACACAGGAGATTTCCTCCGCCTCAATATGATGCGATAACGCTAACATGGCTGCAAATCGCGTGGCTCTGCTTGGTCATTTACTCATCGTCTCGGGTATTCCAAACACTTTACAATTTCTTGATTCTGCGGACGCGAAAAGCCAAAAAGTAAGCTGCTGCTGCGTTGTCCCTACTAACCGGACGTCGGAATCTGGGCTTGCTGCACGGCCCGATACGAGCTGTATGCGCTGCCTGCTTGCTTATGCCGTACTGCGAATATGCTCGTGAAGACCATTGGCCACGTAAAAGGCCAAGCCGGTGGCCTGGATGCGGCGGTGTCATAGCGGAGCTGGTGGCTGTTGTAAACTGTAAGGCCTAGGGTTACAGGCGCCTGTATAAGCGGTGTTGTACAAAGGAGGGAAGAAGCAACGTTCCGCTGGACCCTTTTGGGCCCTCCAAGATTAACCACTCGCACACATGGAGCGGTCTGCTTACTTGCATGAGTAATCATGCATTGCTATAGAGACGCTGGTAACAGCTTGCAATGATGTGCGGGAAGAGATACTTTTGACAGAAAACTACAAATTGAACGCATGGAAAAGACTTTCGCAATCAGACAGTGATTGAGGACGACGCAGAGCTGGGTCTGAGTTAGAATGAGTGTACAGCATCGAGATCTCCTCACCGCATCATTTGTTTCGCTAAAGAATGCCCAGGTGCTTACACACGACGTGTGGTGCAGACCGCCTATACGAGGTTGATCGCTCTTGGAACTTTCGGACATAATTGTTCCTCTGCGGGAGGCACAGGATTCCTAAAACCGATAACAGGGCTGTGCTGCCGATCACAGGATGAACAGTGGCGAACTCCACAGAACGCATCTCGCAGGATTGCGAACCCAGTCATGAATGGCGGTTCAAGCACTCCGTATAGCAAAACGGTTGAGGGAACCAATGTACGGACTGCTCGTGGGAGTTCTCTCCGATGTGCTATCAGCCAGTCATCTCCAAGGGGCTTGCTGCAAGCTAGCCCTGGCCCATCGCACATAAGGCAAGCTAATGCGGCAGATTAAGCGCATCCACGTCGACTTGAGCTTTTACGGAAACCCGAGACCGCGTACGGTACGAAAAAGAAGGAACGATAACTTCGAAGAGGGGTTTCTGAGGGGCAGGTTTGATTGGAGAGGGGACAGATCGCCGCTGAGAGGTGCATGCAAGCGAGTTCTAACCGGCAGCCGTGCGTTAGGGCCCGCGGAGCGGCATGGCAACGAATCTCGGTATTCTGGCGTTGTGTAATTTGGAGGTAATGGTATGAGACATTCATACCTTCCGAATTGAGGAAGAAAGATTGTACTGCCCACAAAAATTTGGCGGCGTTGCAGACCGCAATAAACTGAATTGCCCGTCACAACGCCCAGCCGTTGGCCGTATATTTGAGACGACGGAAGGCTCATCTATTGGGGATTTTGGAAAAGCCATGTTCCAAGGCTGTATTCTAAGACCGTTCCACCGTCACGCAATTGTGGTGGATGGCATGGAAAACGTAACGGCGGAGTAGTAGGCAGATTAAAGGGTAACCGGTACGGCTGCTGCGGAGTGGCGTAGGCGCTCCACTTGCCGCATTGGTATAAGTTGTTCATCGTCTCGGCATGGAACTAGACAGTCAGATTGTGTTGCAGCCTTGCTTCATTCCAATAGTGTTAATCACAGATAGTCTGAAAAAATTGAAGGGGTTTCAGGAACCCTAGCAGTTGAGTGGCTGCTTGAGGTGCGGGAGCAAAAGCCGCCATGGAACGAATTGTGTTCAGGATGCCGCAAAGGTTATCGTAACCGCCTCGGATGCAAGATCATGCAGCTAAACGTACGTTGGGCTAGAATCTTGTGCGCCGGCTCCAGATTCCTTCACATGTGGGAACAAGATGGCGCAAAGCCAATCCTACGCGACGTCACTTCTGCCTAAGGTTGATGCGGAGCGTTGTGTACCAGTTATCGTAGCAACGTGGAACCTGCGCCATTTGACGACGATCTCAAAGCATGAGATTAGCCCAAGGGAAATGGGACGTGGCAAGTTTGGTTGAAAAAGGAGTTGGTTGATCACACATGTCCGCAGTCAAAGGGCTCCCAGAACCATGGTCACTCAGAGCCCTGCAGTGAACGAAAGCAATTCAGTGTGTTTGATGGCGAGCAAGCCCAAGGACGGCTGGACGTGCTAAATGAAGTGAGCCAAGCTGAGAGAAAGGCAACGTTGAGCGTCTAGATGCCTTTGTTGGACACTCTCCAGCATGATTCCTGCTCATTCGGTGCACAAAGAGCCGATTAAATGCACGACGGGCGGAGATATTTCATCTAAGATGAGATCTTGAGATCTGAAGCTAAGTGAAAAAACAGGGGTTGTCGGGAATTGACTGGCTGATACAATGACAGGCCGAAACTAGCACCCCGGCGATCTGGCTGTGGGCACTCGCAGCGGGGCAGAAGCGATGGAAGGAAGGAGGCATGCCGTGTGACGTCGGCGGCCGGCCGGGTCTAGGTTAAATACCATGGTGACAAATAGTCCAATTCAGACGATCGGACTCAATTTCCCATACTTCCAATAGTCTGGGGAACGACAGCGTTGCACTAATCGTGGTAGTGACAGAGCGCCGTCGCTTCTTCTGACACATGGTCTGTAGCTGGTACAGAAAGCGTAGTAGGCAGAGAGACCAGCAGTGATTATTGTCGTAGACCAGCAGTGATTATTGTCGTAGACCAGGGAGTCGGCGACATGTTTTTATCGAGCGATCGGCACGCACGTCCTAGACAGTGGGCAGCAAAGTTCTCAGGGCGCATCAGGGCTCCGAAAATGGGTGGGAAGTTCGATCAGATCGGAGCTATGCCCGATATGACGGTCGCGTATCTCAGGTTTTGTTGTTTGGATCAGGGAGCCCCTTGTTCCTGGACCCAGGCGATGGGCTGTCATGAGATTTGTGCAGCACGGTGAAACCAGCCGTTTTGGACATTGCACATAGTTGCAGATGAGGGTCGCCAAAACTCGGTATTGTTTGGGGGTGCATGATGAGGCACGACGTGATGGCGCAGGATTAGACTCGCTACAGCATCAGCCGTGGGCGCTGACTGGAAGCCCACGGAGACGGGAACGAGCCAACGGCAACCCGACGGCTGCGTCTCCATAGCGCGGGCCACTTTAGGTGAGCATGTGCGTTCGCGTTTGGTTGGGCAGTTTGCGGAAGCCTCTGCGCGGGCGCGATCGCGATTGCGCTGGTCACAATAGCCGGCGCACGTTTGTTTGGGTGAGCGTGGGTGGAGTGGAGCAAAAGTAGAAATTGATTATTACTATGGTAGTTGGTGGTAGTCAGGCACGCTGTAAACGTCGTCGCGTCGCAGCGCAGGTGGGAGAAGGTGCCGGAGCCAGAGCGGGCCTGTTAGTCAGCCCACCCGGAACAGAGGCTGCTTGACCCCGCCCACAACGCCAGCAACATGCCAGATGCGATCGCGATGGCAGACATGCCAACACCCCCCAGGAACCAGCTGTGATATGATGTTGACGCGTCTCGTTTATCGGCGGGAAGTGCCACAGAGATGCTAGCGTGCTCGATCGCCAGCGCTGGGCCAAGCCACGGGCGTGGTGTTGTCCTGTCGCTGGCGTGCGGGTGCCGAGGGTAATCTGCAGCCATTGAGCCTGGCACAGAGCTAGCCGCGAACCTTCTTCCCCTACTCCACACACATCGCCGACTGGCCTCCAGAACACGCCGGGCTTTCTGCCGCTGCCCTTGACTGGCTACATCAGCTGCTAGCCGTCCCCCAGGCGCTGCGGGGACTGACTGGGAACTGCAAGCTTCTGGCACGCTGCCCTGCCGCTGTCTGGGAGGAATTGTGTGGTCAAATTCCAGAAGACTGCAATTGCTTCTTCCCACTGCTGCTATAACATATGCTAGGCAAGCCCTCGACGTAACACACTCGTACTGCTCCTAATCCGCTTGCTTGCTGCTTCACCACCCACCAACCAACCACCCCTAGCAGCCTCGTCAATCCCTCAGACGAGTATCGATCTGCTTTGCAAGCGTCCATGCGCAAACTGTTTACTGCCATCGAAATACCAAGTCTTCGCCCGCTAGGCTCCGCCACCTGATTATCCTGGCTCACCCTCCCCCGGCCCGCAAACAGAGATTTGTGCGCATCGGAACCACTCATACGCCCCTCACACCTCGATCGCTGACGTCCCAGCGCCAGTTCCCACTTTCGCACCAATCTTCTGCCTCTTTGGGTTCCGCGGCCAACTTTGGCCGTTGCTACTGTGCCTCACGTCACTCGTCGCGTATCTGTATCGAGCTGCGTCCTGTTCAAACCCTGTCGTGCCGGTACGTGAGCGCCTTTCTAGCTCCGTTGTTTTTCGGCCCATCTTTAGGCCTGCTCCGCCCAGCCCAGCACATCCGCACCCGCGTGGACAGTCGCCACTTTTCCCCTCTCCGTTTACATACTTTGCCCGCCCACTCCTCGCACTTTCTCTTTCTTCCATTATTCCTCACAGTCGAAGTCGTTGCTAGACGTACCCCTCGAACTGTATCAATCCAGCATCTGTTGTTGTGCTGACTCCGCCATCTGTCAGCTACCCCGCCGCCACCCACACACCTTTGCCACACCACCACGCTTCATCTGCCATCTGCCATCTGTCGTCTGAACCCTCACCATGCCTGCTGAACGTCGAACCTTTACTTCGACCAGACCGGTCAAGACCGAGCGCACTCATGAAGAGAACCAGGAGCGGTTTGTTATCTCAATTCAGTTTACATGTAACCAATTCTAATGTTCGTTAGTGCTTACATTGCTGCCTCGCGCCGCAGCGACCGTAGTCTAGAGGCTCGCATTGAGTCGGCACGCAGGGCTTCTGAGATTCACAAGAAGCGTACTGGCCGTGCTTTGCGTGTGACTGAACAGGATGTCATCAATGAAGAGATGTACGAAGAGGAGGACGATGATCTGCCCACCCAGTACCAGCGCTTGAATGCGCATCTGCACACTACCTCTGTCATGTTTAACAAGAAGCTCCATGATTACATTGCGACACAGCACGGTGTCCGAAACATGTTCATGTCGCAGTACCAAAATCAAGGCCCGGCGTTCCCACAGTTTGGTCAGCAGTATCCAGCCAATGGTGCTTCACTTCCACAGGCAAACAACTGGCTTAACCCTTCCATGCTACCACCACAACAATTCACACCGGCTTCTCCTCAGAGTTTCCAGCAAGCGCAGCCGTTCAGCCCGACTTCTACTCAACCACAACAGGGCTACCGTCAGTCACCGTACCACATTCCTCAGCGGACCCAGTCTCACCAGCGCGCTCTTTCGATTCAACTGCCTCACGGCGCATCGCACTTTGATCCATCAGCTCAGCCGGCAAGTGCAGGTACCACGCCACAGACCGAGCTCAACCGAAGACTGTCTCTACCACCGCAAGCTTTCCAGCAATCAAACCAAACAGTAGAGCGACCAACGCGCCCTTCGCTATCGCGTTCGCCTACTGCGCATTCGCTTCAACATCGCCAGTCATCTTCACCACAGACTGCTTCGCCAAATGCGGCTTCAGTCCATGACGCTGCAACTGCTCAAAGCGACCCTAACACGCCTACTTCCTATTCTTACAGCCCAACGAACTACCCATACAGTTCGCAAGCACTTAACTCAAACCCTTTGACCTTGTCCATGCCACCTGAGTCACAGCAGTTCTTGGGTTCCGTCCTCGATCAGAACGATCCTCGCACTGCTATCTTCATGGCTGGTAGCGACAATCTTCCTCAGCCATTTGCTCCAACCTACACCTACAACCCCAACAAGGTTACACGGACACCGAGCAGCGCAAGCATGTCAGAGAACGCTACTGGTTCCGCTCAGACTCTATCCTCAGGTCTTAATCTGAAGACTGAGCCCGTCTCTGATACCACATCATTATCAATGCCGAGCGCTATATCCGATGGTTTTTACTCCAACGATTCGTTCTTGACACCTGGCAATGGTGACTACAGTGCCTTCTTCGACTTCCAAGGCGGTGATTTTACACAGTCCTTCGATGACCAGTCCGCGAACGACCAAGACAACGGCAATAGCCTTGTCAACTGGGACTAGGCTTCTTTCCCTTCTTCTGTTTATTCCTTTTTCTTAGGCCAAAGGCCCTTTTGTATGATCCTCTTTGGGTCTTGTGTGTTGACTGCCTTGATACTTTGCTACGCTTTTGGGTAACGGTTCTGGTTTCACACGCACATGATACCTTTTGTACAGTGTCGTTCACGAGGTTACGACTGGAGGCGTTGCGTGGAGTTTTTCACATGGGCTCAGAAAAAGCTCCATATGTTCAGCATACAAGCGTATCCTTCTGCAGGCGCTTCGAGGTTGCTGTCGCCTGTATAGCGATCTCCTCTCTCGGTAACACTTCAACCCGAAGTGCTTACTTGTAATACATAATTGTAACGGCTATTAGTCGTATGCGATTCATCGTGCATTCCTACTGTGTGTGACTTGCACGTGATGTATCGTCAAAAACCTCGGTATACAGCTGCATGTTGCATTTCGGTTTTGCGAACATCATAGTCATACGCAAAATGGCTTTCAATAGGGGTCTGAAGATCTACTACACAAAGAGAAGGATTGCGCAGAGGCCCAAAACATGAATGAGAACTGGCTGTTCAGTCAGTGGTTCCGTGACGGGTAACACCCTCGAAGCGGCCTGTCGAGGGATGTGCAACACATACCAGTTCTGGAACCTAGTTACGCACAATGTTCTGTTACGTGGCGAATCACATACTTGTCACTCATGCCTTCTGCGTGAGTGTGCCTATGCGTACGATGATCTCGTCGAAGTAACGCTGGAACAGATAGTTTGGCTCACGTGATGACGCTAATGGTGAGTTAGCGTCGTGAACAGCACTTTCGTACCGTGGATGATGGTTTCAGCAGATCTGTTCCATTGCAACAACGAATACACCCTGTGCGATGCGCAACAAGTTTTACATCAGCAGGTTTGGCTTTACATCGCCGTCAATCTACGTTACTACGCCTGAATCCATCGGAAGCTCTTGCGGATAGCTGCACCAACCATCCTGAGGCCTTGTCTTACCGCGGGGTTTTCTGTAAGACGCACAACCCTGAGCCGGAACTTGGTTCCTGCATCTGTGCATCGAGCTAGTGATGGCAAATTCCACACGAAAATATACAAGCTGTTCAGTGCGGTCCCTAAACTCGAGAGTCGTCCTTGGTCCTTTTGCTGCACGCCTCTGACAAGCTCTTATATCGTATCGATGTTACTTGCTCTAGAGAGCCTGAACATTGCACAACCTGTGGTAATAAACAATATTTAGCAGGAGGCGGCAATGCCGACATCGCGATCAATCTGCCGAAAGCAATTACAGAATACCTACTGATCCTGCAACGAACCATATTCATGTGACTCAAGTACTGATCAGTGGAATGCATTGCAGTTCGGTTATAATACCTCTTCCTGTACAGAATTTCTTGCTATTGGGAAAGAAGCACCGCAAGGCGTCTGTCAGGCGGTATTCCAGTCGGCTTCATCTTCTTGTGTCACTCGTGTAATGCCTCCAAAACACGAGCATGGTCGAGCGTAACGGCATTGGGTACATTCTTCAACGTCAAGTTACGCCGATCCATTGGCTCGCAACAACACCATGCCCAGAGAAGTGGCTGTATCAATCTCTTCAACCTCAACAACGGTAGGTTGGATCACTTCGTCATCTGTGAACTCCTTCCTTGAAGCCTTTCCCATCTTCGCCTCCTTCTGCACTACCGGTGGCGGCTGCTGCGCTGCAGTGTGACGTTGGCCTGCGTCCGTTATCTACCATCCCGTAATTGCTGTTTCTAGTCAGATTCAAGATGACCAGCATCTTGTCACACTACCAATCTATACGAACACACCAACTAACTTGCCTACTGATCGCTGCAAAGCAGTCTTGGCCATCATGGTCTATCGAGGTGATGCAATTCTGCTTCAGACAAGGCCGCTACTCCAAGAACTCACAAAGTCAAAATCTGGAGGCCAATATGTCGATAGGAATAACCTAAGCATCATAGGTTGTACGCCGACTGCCGTCAAGTTTGGTACTTCGATGACTTGGAAGGTGGATACCATGAGAGGAAGCATGATGCCGTGTCGCATGCTCGTGTTAGGGCTAACCGGTTGTTCTGTTGCTGCAGCACAGCCGCGATAGGATCACACCATTCTACCATCGCGGTGAAACGCACCTCTTCATATATAAGATCGTTGTTCTCACTCACTTGAGGCACAAGCCCTTCAGCTCTAGTTGTCAGCCAAACATAGCCTCTCGTTCCTTTCTCTATTACCACTCGTTCATTGCTTTGACTCCTAGAACAAGTGCTTTCTGTGACCTACAAAGAGTCATGAAGCTCAGTACTTGTATACCGTTTGCGGCCTTTCTGACGCTCGTTGCTGCCGAGCGGGCGCTATGTAAGTTTCAGTTTTAACACTGCTGCTGGAAGCATTTACCTTGTCAACCACCACATCGAGAATCTAGTTTCTTTTCGTCTTTCAATATGGACTGACAGCTTTATCTAGTGAACTTTCCACAGCACATACGGCCACGGCAGTATGCGCCGCCACCGCCTTACTCCCCTACTTATCCTACTTTGATCAGCAGTGCTACTAGCATCTCGCTGTCTACTGGTATTCCTCCGGTTTCAACACCCTCTTCGTCAGCAAACTTCACGGCACCAGGGCCCTCCACAATTGTCTACACTAGCGTCGTGGTCATTACATCGGTGGTTGTCCCAACGACATCGTGAGTTATGATAAGTTCTCGTGTTCAGTTCCTGTTGAACTAATATGTTGACACAGCCGAACTTCATCTGGAAACTCTACATCCACAAAGGCTACAGCAAGTAGTTGGGGTAGTAGCTCTTCGTCTGTGAGCATCTCTCTCTCAACTGGACCTCATTCTTCCGGATCCGGATACCACCCATCTTTACCACCGTACCCGACTTCCGCGCCTTACAGTAACAGCACCGGTACAGCTTCTTCTACTTGGGGCACAGGTACTGCAACAGCGTCTTCGATACCTTCGTTGACTTCCACAGCTAGTACCAACTCGACAGGTTCGCAAAGCTCCTATATCCCGAGATCTTCGACGTCAAGCACCAATGTTACTGTCATTACCTCAGTCATCGCTTCCACTACTGTCATCACTATTTCCCCTCCATATCCTTCTAATGGAACTGTGACCGAAACAAACACTGAGCCTACAGCGACATCCAGTGGTGATGGGACTACTTCTGGGACTACTACGTCCTCTGGCTACTATATTCCACCTGGTAACGCTACCAGCAGCGCCAGCAGTCCGACTGAAACAGACACTGTGTACTCGTCGACCATCAATATCTCGACCATCTCCTGGATCACCTTTACCTCAGTGGAGTCATACACTACGACTGAGACACCTACGTCAACCACCGACGTTTCAGTATCATCGTCGACTTCAGATTCATCCAGAAGGTCAAGAACCACCCGGAGTCGCACCAGCACACGTGATTGGTCTCGGACTCATACTATGTCCAGGCATTCCACAACTGATTCTGCCTCATACACGCCTACTTCTTCCGAAGAGTCGTCAACGGCATCATACACTCCGAGTTCTTCTGAAGAGACGCCTAGTCCGTCTAGTGCGGAGTCCTATACACCATCGTACACAGCATCTTCTACAGATGATATCAGCAGTGTATCTAGTGCGTCCAAGACCTACTCTGCTTCATCTACGTTGTCGCAATCGTATAGCTATTCGTTTAGCTCGATCGTTACAGACACATTCTCGCCCACCCCATCGGATGCCACAACTTATCCGGAGCCAACGCCGACAACGGAAAGCTTCTCGTACTGGACGACCTTGTCGTCATCAAGAGATTCGGCCAGTGAATCTGAGACCCCTTCGTACACATGGCCGATCAGATCAAGCACTACTTTGGTGCTTCCTTCTGAGACATCATCAGAAGCGTTGAGCAGTGAATCTGGTACCATCGAGACTCCTTCTGCCACGCCCTCACCTTCTAGCAGCTCTTTCACGTCCGAGTCACTAGTCACATCTAGCAGCTCGACAAGCTCAGAGACACTTAAGGAGTCGAGCACGTATACGTCTACCGAAACGGAGTACACGTCCTTCACCTCCTCAATTTCAGCATCCGAGAGCTTTTCCAGCTCAACTTCTATCGTAGTCAGCTCTACCAGTACTGACGCCACCACTACCTCTTTCCCAGTTGGGTCTTCTACCTCAGGCTATTCCTACTGGACTCCGCCCATTAGCTCAGCAACTAACACGGATGCTACCGCTACTTCTTTCCCGGTGGACTCCAGTACCGACTTCACGAGCTTGACTGGTAGTCTCACTCAGACGACCTTTGAGACGAGCGTAAGTTCGACCAAGAGCGGCTACGCACTGCCGCCTGTAGAGACGTACGAAGGGCAGGGTGACAAGGTGAAGAGGGGCATGGTAAGATTCTATGATGTTGATTGAAACACAAAAGAACAAAATCTAACTATTCTGGCAGATGGGTATGTGGTTTATGTGAGAGCGAAGCATCGGATTGGGTAATCATGGACCCTTTCCGGAAAAACGATTAGATGAAGCATTACGACATGTCATTGCATCTCACCAAAACAAACCCACGTTATTTTCTCTACTTGCCTCGATTAGTGTAGACATTCATTTCTTCTCCTTCTCAAGTTCTTTTCGCTTCACTCTCTTCTCACCCAACCGCTCTGTCAATGGTTTCTGGGAAGGTGTATTTAATACGCAATGACTGCAAGATGTTGGGTCATAGTTCGATATGAAAAACTTGTTTCTTTAGAGATTCAAACTTCTGCTTTGATATAATGACCATATGACACCATAGGGGACGGCGCCTTTATGAAAACTGAAGGAGAATTTGCAACGCTTCACAATGACATTGATATTCACCTCTGCCATAACGTGTTCCATCACCGGGCAGCCTCACTTGCCAGAAATCTACTTTTCGGCTCAGTACAAGTAAGCACCTTGGGCATTCCTCGTCCTTCGCCAGTCTAAAAAGGAATATTCACAAATTTTCTAGTCACAAGCCCCAATGCTTTGGTTTGACAATTTCGTCTTGTTGAGATGAAGAGAGTGTTATCCAGAGAACGTATTTTTCCAGAGTTGCGTAGAGATCACGTAGGATATAGCTTGGTGCTACACTACAGTAGTTGGTGCATGGGCAACTTGAACCGGATAGTGTTCGGGCGTAAGGGCGGAAAAGCGAGAAGAGGGTGCAGAAATGCCATGTGGTAGAGGTATCGGGGCGAGTGTGACCAAACCAGTAGACGGAGACGCCAAAGCTGTGATTGTTCGCCTACAGCCTAGACGCGCGTATAGTAGGTCAGTAGCATAGCGTCAACCAAGCACCCATCAAGTATCACCTTTCCACAAAGACCACACTATCGGCATTGAAACATTATTTCATTCATTCAGCCGTGACAATTTAGCTTCACCTTCCTGAGGCAGCTATGCCATCGAAGCATGTCTCGATCATGTCATTACGTATCGTTCCCAATGGATATCAACTTTTTTACATCTTGCTCTTGGCCTCGCCCTTGAGCTCCTGTGCCTTGCCCTTGGCCTCACCAGCGAGCTCGTTGGCCTTTCCCTTGGCCTCGCCAGCCATCTCGTTTGCCTGGCCCTTAGCCTGGCCAGTGGTCTCGGGGACGGACTCCTTGACGGCGCCAGCGACTTCCTCTGTTGATGTATCGTTAGTTTCTGTGTTTTTGTGCTACCAGGATATTTAAAGCTTGCGCACTGTACGATGTCGTCATGTTCTCGGCTGTGTGAGACAAGAGAGCATCAGGCGGTGCAATACAGATGAGAGGCGTGATGGATGGAAAGTGTACGTACCACCCTTCTCAATGCCCTTTACAGCGGCACCAGAGATTGTCCTGTCGACGGCCTTGGCAGCATCCTTGATAGCATCTACGGGGCTCTTGCGTGCGACGGGTGTGGTGCTGAAGAGGCGGGCCTGGCGGGCAATCTGTTGACGGAACATGTTGACGGTGTGTTGTGTAGTGTAGTTGTTTTGGAAAATGTGGAGGTCGGTAGAGGAGAGGTGAGGAAAGTGGCAATTGAGTTATTGGATGGTTTGTTAGATGAGGTTCTTGTGAGTGTGCGGGAGACGACAGCTTTAAAGCATGTGGACGTGGACTGAGCTGCTGTGCAATGACGTAGCTATGATCAACCAATCACGGATGTGGGTCCTAGTGCTGCCGTGCATGGCGGAGGAACATCGCGATTGCGGATTTAGCATGCCTAGGCCTCACAAAATTTTGCATGTGCATGTGTACTGTTATGAATGTGATTAATTCATTATGATTATTCGTGCCCTTTTATCAGGCGATTCTGCGTCTTCCTGCACTTAGTACAGCGCCTTCTGCCACCATGCACACCGGGCGTTCGCGTTGCTGTCGCGTACATCCTCAATGCCCGTGACATTGAGCTCCAGAACCGTAGCGTCGGGACCGTACATGTTAAATTGCTTTACGCCCATGGCGTCTGGTACGCCGTTCTCAGCGAAGCTAGTGATGAACTCTTGCAGAGCGATGGCAATGGTCGTGTTAGTAACGCCAGTCGGCGAAGTAGAAGCAGCACCTCCCTGGAAGTACGTGTACGCAACATCTTGGCCATGTATAGCCGGAGGGATCGCAAACAGATACGAGTATGTCTTGTTTCCATAGGCTCTGGAGAGGTAGTTGGTGTTGCATGTGAAGACACCCTCACTAACGATGAGGCTGCCGCGCTCAAAGTTGTTGGTGTAGCCCAGTGAACCATCGAACACCGGAGGGTAGAGGGTATTAACAATGTAGTCCACGGACGACTTTGGGGCATTTGCGAATGCGCTTGAGATCTGGTCTTCCAGTGCATCCTCGTTTGGAAGATAGAAAGGAGTAAAAAGTGCTCCTTCGTTAGCATTATGGCCGACCATTACGCGTACGTCCTTGTCGAACCGGCCTTGAGCTAACAGTTGAGCGGGCTGCAGAGGAGCGAAGAGACCGTCCACTACTGGTCCGTAGGTGAAAGTGCCATACGGAGAATCATAGATGATCTGCTGAGCATTCGCACGTATAATCTCTTCAGATGGAAGAGCACGCAGCTCTGCGAGAGACGTAGTGTTGGTAAGCTTAAGGAACTTCTGGTAGACGTCCTCCTGCGTAACAACAGAAGTTGTAGGCTGCCATCCAGGGCTCTGCGGAACAGCCTGTTGGAAAGGAGCCGATCCGTTAGCACCGCCATATGCAGTAATTTGATGCATAATCGATCCACCTCCAGCACTTTCTCCAAAGACAGTGACCTAAAAAAAAAACAGTCAGTTGCAGTTGCAGATTCAGATTCCAGCTCGACTTACTCGGTTCTTGTCACCTCCAAAGAGGTGGATGTTCTCCTGAACCCACTCAAGCGCAAATCGCTGATCGTATAGACCTAGGTTTGAAACACCTCCTTCCGCTTGGTACGAAGGACCACCCATCCAGCCCATAGCGCCAAGACGGTAGTTCATTGCAACATAAATGACGTCGCCATTGGTTGAGTTGCCGGACGCAGCAAGTAGCCCTGCTGGGTTATTGTTTTTCTCGCCTCCTGTGTAGCCGCCTCCGTAGACCCACACCAGAACGGGAGCCCCATAGCCTTGCCCAGCTTTGCTTAGCACGTCCTCGGGAACGAAGACATCCAGAAATAAACAATCTTCAGATTCGCGGGGATCCGGGACTGGAACTGGGCTGCTAGCGTTCGCCCCCGGTGTCGAGTACGATGAGTTAGAAGTAGGAAGACCGAGCACATATCTGGTCAAAGACTGGGCCGCAAGTGCATTCCAGCCTGGGGAAGCCTGGGGACATATTCTGTATACGTTAGTTTGGTCGTCTAAAGACTATAACCTCAGAGCACCTACCTCGATACACTGCCAGTGTTGATAGTTGATCTGTTTTCTGCTGGAGCCTGAGGCGGTGCAAACCTCAGGTTGCCAACAGGCGGAGCAGCATATCGTATGTTGGAGAAGTTGTAGAAGTTGCCGGTATCCTGGATTAGTTAGCAAGCCGACATCAAAACCTAAAGATTGACGAACGTTGAAACCTGAAGCCTGGTAAATCTCGTAGCCAAGATCGACAGTAGGCAGCGACGAGTTCTGTGCATAGGCGGCACCTATCAAAGCTGCAGCTGCGGCGAGTTGCAACATATTGGAGAGTTCAGTGAGATGTAAATAGGGCAGTTACGACGAGGTTGCCAACGTCTATATCTCCAAATGCCCGGGACTTGCAACGATGATAAGTCTACTTTTGTGCAAGGGCAGCCCGTCAACCAGGTACGGGTCGAGCATCCATATATACTCCTGTCATTTAGCTTAGCCCAATGAGCAACATGGTATGCCTCCGCGGTCACGCAAAAGCCGCAGACATGTCCCGCCTTGCCCTAACGCAAATACCTCCACCACAGTAACCGTCACCGGAATCAAACCTGACTCCCGTGCCGATGGCTTTCCAAAGCAATACAAACGTGCGTCATCGCGGCGGAAGCTTCGGCGACTAGCGCTGGAACTGATTCGCTCGCTGACAACCAGCGCGAATACGATCAATACGTGGCCAGCTATGCATGGCCGTTCAGGAACCTGAGGTCTGAGGATATCTTTCGGATTTTGTATGTGCTCAGCTGTAGATGTACTTTGACGTTTGACAGGTGGAATTAAACTTTCAAGCTGTCGTTCGGCGTTCCGGTGAGATGGGACGGGGTGTCATCTCGGTTCTATGATGCGAGACGATCTGACGAGGATGTTCCCCGCATAAAGGATCCAATGCTGTCAGGGCATTCTACCGAGGCATCTCGCTTGGCCGCGCAACTGTTTCCCTACAATGGCCTGGTATACTATCGCCCTGTCAACCATTGACCGCATAATACAAGCTGGACTGTGTAGCCCGGGCGAACTTTCGGCCGTCGCATTTCGCACGGGTCGATCATCTAGACGCAGATGTACGCATACGCTAAATACTGATGTCGCATGTAATCTGCGCGTAGACCCAGGCGCGGTTTGCAGCGTATGTACATACTTGACAGATCGTATGCGCTTTTCTACGTCGGTTGGTCTACCCTACGCTGGCCATACACCGTGAGCTATCGAATTGTGAACTGGGATTCAATTGCAAAGGATTCTGATGATGACGTTTGTCTCGTCAACCATCTCAACAACAATCGCCATGAAACTAGCAGCTCATCCTCAGCTACGCGGCATTTCAAGCATACCAGTAGTCATCTGTTGATGGCTTGCTGTGGCATAAACGTACTGCGTGTCGTGTTCATTGAGACATTACTGCTCGATCCTGTTCAGCGAAACAGAGTAAACAACAGAATGAAATCAATCCCTTCCAATTATTTCCACCTCCGCAGGAAGCTGCGAACAGTCGGGAATTTGGGGCAAGAAAAGAAGCCCACGACACGGACGTAAGTATGTTATCATTATATCCGACTTAGTGCCTATGGTGAGCAAATAGGCCATGTCTCCAGCGTTGTCCTTACTGGACCCGCCCCAGCCATGCTCAAGGCCGCTCACATGCTCACTGCGATCACTCACTTACTCGGGAGATTTGCAATTTACTCGAATTCGGAGAACATCTTGCGCTTCGGAAATGTAAGCTAGCGTTCACTGCGAGTAGACATTCAGAAAATCTCGATGCAACGACAGAAACTCTCGAATCGGAAGAGAAGAGACGGATATCAGGAGCGTCAACGGAATGGGGGCGAAATCTTGCGTTCTTGAGAATACTAGAATGCCCTAGTAACCTCCACGCCATAAAATATGCGATATTTCACAGTACTTCACTCGTTATATCATCTCATTCTAGCAAGGAAAGTATTCTAGTATGCAGGGTGAGAGAGCGTAGACAGTTTCTTTCGGAAATGCTTACTAGGACAGCCCACACGCATGGCCATCCGCTCTCCACTTGAACATCGTTAACTCTCCCACGGTCCCCGATGCTCCTACGCTCTCTTGACACTAGGATCTGTGCACAAATGGCCTTGTACGAAGCCTTTGAATATGTTTTGGGTACACGCATGATACATTACTGTGGAGACATTCTCGGAGCCAGCTACAAACCTCTACAGGACATGAGCCCAGCGCTTTTTTCTTTGAATTTGTCCAAGTCACGAGGCAAGCAAGTTTCTAAAATTGACGCAAATCGATCCAGTAATAGCAAATAAGCTGCCGAAGAGAATGTGTGACGTCTCGCACCCACCGAAGGGCTATTTCCCTCCCTCAGCCTATCACTTCCACAACCTGAAGCAGCGCGTCCTCTTCAATGCTTACGCCTACAATGTACAATCCTCCTCAAAAGCCGAACACTTCGACCTCATCACCTCCACTACATCAACCGGCCGTTTGGATGGCGTGGAGTGTCCAGGCTCACTCGTAGTCTATTATAATCCCAAGTTGCACGATCGGAAGACGCTGTGTTTGAACCCAAGTATCAGCTCAAGGTTATGAGCACTATAGTAGATAAGATGGATGAAGGAAATACATGGGCGCCAGAAGAGACAAGTGAACAAAAACCTTCAACTGAAGCGTCAATGAAGAAGGAGAAGGGAGATGACGTGCAAGCCACAAAAGACGATCTCAGTCGCCAAACAAAACTACTGATGATTGTGACGGCACTGGAAAAGCCGACAAGAACAAGGGCAAGGTCGTTCCGAAGCAGCCAACCACCCTCGCTGACCGGACTAAAGCTGAAGCTGCTACTATCATGCTTGACCTGAAGCGCAAGTCGGCCGCCGAGGATAATGTAGATCGCATGAAGAGTATAAAAATTGATGACAAGGAGGGTACTTTGTCGACGAGAAGAAGATAGACCCAACTAGCCAGTCACAGGAGAAGGCCCTGCCTAGCCCGTCGCCTTTTCCTCAATCAACTTGAAGCCTTCTCAAACTAAGAAGTAGCCTCAAGTGGCACATTGGTTCTGGGTTGGGGGCGAAGAAACACCTAGGAAAGATATGGTGGATACGGTTGCTTTG